TAGTGGAAGTTAGCTGTAGGGATGGTGGCCATCATCTGTTAAAGTTAGCTGTAGGGATGGTGGCCATCATTGGTGAAAGTTAGCTGTAGGGATGGTGGCCATCATGTATGGAAGTTAGCTGTAGGGATGATGTCGTCATATTGGAAGTTAGCTGTAAGGGGCAGCAACCACCATTAGTGGAAGTTAGCTGTAGGAATGGTGGCCATCATCTGTGAAGTTAGCTGGAGGATGGTGGCCATATCTGTGAAGTTAGCTGGAGGGATGGTGGCCATCATTAGTGGAAGTTAGCGTAGGGGTGGTGGTCATCATCTGTGGAAGTTAGCTTGAGGATGGTGGCCATCATTAGTGGAAGTTAGCTGTAGGGATGGTGGCCATCATTAGTGGAAATTAGCTGGAGAGGATGGTGGCCATCATTAGTGGAAGATAGCTGGAGGGATGGTGGCCATCATTAGTGAAAGTTTGCTGTAGGGACGGCAACCATCATTAGTGGAAGTTAGCTGTAGGGATGGAGGCCATCATCTGTGGAAGTTAGCTGGAGGATGGTGGCCATCATTAGTGATAGTTAGCTGCAAGGGATGGTGGTCATCATCTGTGAGTAGCTGGAGGATGGCCATCATTAGTGGAAGGTAGCTGTAGGGGTGGTGGCCATCATCTGTAAAGATTAGCTGTAGGGATGGTGGCCATCATTAGTGGAGTTGCTGTAGGGATGGTGGCCATCATTAGTGTTAGCTGTGGGGATGGTGGCCATCATTAGTGGAAGTTAGCTGTAGGGATGTGTGGCCATCATTAGTGGAAGTTAGCTGTAGGGATGGTGGCCATCATTAGTGGAGATTAGCTGTAGGGTGGTGGCCATCATATGTAAAAAGTTAGCTGTAGGGATGGTGGCCATCATTAGTTTAGAAGTTAGCTGTAGGGTTTGGCACCCATCATAAGTGGAAGTTAGCTGTGGGATGGTGGCCATCATCTGTGGAAGTTAGCTGGAGGGATGGTGGTCATCATCTGTGGAAGTTAGCTGTAGGGATGGTGGTCATCATCTGTGGAGATAGCTATAGTGATGGTGGCCATCTTAGTGGAGATTAGCTGTAGGGATGGTAGTCATCATCAGTGGAAGTTAGCTGTAGATGGTGGCCATTAATAGTGGAAGTTAGCTGTGGGATGGTGGCCATCATTAGTGGAAGTTAGCTGTAGGGATGGTGGCCATCATTAGTGGAAGTTAACTGTAGGGATGGTGGCCATCAGTGGAAGGAGTAGCTGTAGGGATGGTGGCCATCATGTGGAGAGTTAGCTGGAGGGATGGTGGCCATCATTAGTGGTCTACTGTAGGGATGGTGGCCATCATCGTGGAGTTAGCTGTAGGGATGGTGGCCATCATGTGGAAGTTAGCTGTAGGATGGTGGCCATCATGTGGAAGTTAGCTGTAGGGATGGTGGTCATGTATGGAAGTTAGCAGTAGGGATGATGGCCATCATCAGTGGAAGTTAGCTGTAGGGACGGTAACTATCATTAGTTTAAGTTAGCTTAAGGATGGTGGCCATCATTAGTGGAAGTTAGCTGTTGGGATGGTGGCCATCATCTTTAAAAAGTTAGCCATAGGGATGGTGGCCATCATTAGTGGAAGTTAGCTGTAGGGATGGTGGCCATCATCTGTAAAAAGTTAGCCATAGGGATGGTGGCCATCATTAGTGGAAGTTAGCTGGGGTTGGCCATCATATGTGGAAATTAGCTGGAGGTTGGTGGCCATCATCTGTAAAAGTTAGCTGTGGATGGTGGCCATCATCTGTGAGAGATTAGCTGTAGGGATGGTGTCCATCATTAGTGGAAGTTAGCTGTAGGGATGGTGGCCATCATTAGTGAAGATTAGCTGTAGGGATGGTGGCCATCATTAGTGGAAGAGCTGTAGGATGGTGGCCATCATCAGTGGAAGTTAGCATTAGGGATGATGGCCATCATATTGGAAAGCTGCAGGGATGGTGGCCATAATAGTGGAAGTTAGCTGTAGGGATGGTACCATCATCTGTGAAAGTTAGCTGTAGGGATGGTGGCCATCATTAGTGGAAGTTAGCTGTAGGGATGGTGGCCATCATTAGTGGAAGTTAGCTGTAGGGATGGTGGCCATCATTGTGGAAATTAGCTGTAGGGATGGTGGCCATATAGTGGAAGTTAGCTGTAGGGATGGTGGCCATCATCTGTGGAAGTTAGCTATAAGGATGGTGGCCATCATTAGTGGAAGTTAGCAGTAGGGATGATGGCCATCATATTGGAGAGTTAGCTGTAGGGATGGTGGCCATCATCTGTGGAAGTAGCTGTGGGATGGTGGTCATCATCAGTGGAAGTTAGCTGTAGGGATGGTGGCCATCATCAGTGGAAGTTAACTGTAAGGATGGGCCATCATATATGGAAGTTAGCAGTAGGGATGATGGCCATCATGTGGAAGTAACTGGGGATGATGGCCATCATGGAAGTTAGCTGTAGGGATGGTGGCCATCATGTGGAAGTAGCTGTGGGGATGGTGGCCATCATGTGGAAGTTAGCTGGGGATGGTGGCCATCATGTATGGAGATTAGCAGTAGGGATGATGGCCATCATCAGTGGAAGTTAACTGTAGGGATGGTGGCCATCATGTGGAAGTTAGCTGTGGGATGGTGGCCATCGTGAAGTTAGCTGTGGGATGGTGGCCATCATGTGGAGAAGTTAGCTGTAGGGATGGTGGCCATCATGTGGAAGTTAGCTGTAGGGATGGTGGCCATCATTGGGTGAAGTTAGCAGTAGGGATGGTGGCCATCATCTGTGAAAGTTAGCTGTAGGATGGTGGCCATCAATAGTGGGATTAGCTGTAGGAATGGTGGCCATCATTAGTGGAAGTGCTAGCAAGGGATGGTGGCCATCATTAGGAAGTTAACAGTAGGGATGATGGCCATCATATTGGAAGTTAGCTGTAGGGATGGTGTGTTATTAGTGGAAGTTAGCTATAGGGATGGTGGCCATCATCTGTGGAAGTTAGCTGTGAGGATGGTGGCCATCATTAGTGGAAGTTAAGCAGTGGATGATGGCCATCATATTGGAGTTAGCTGTAGGGATGGTGGCCATCATCTGTAAGAGATAGCTGTAGGGATGGTGGCCATCATCAGTGGAAGTTAGCTGTAGGGATGGTGGCCATCATCAGTAGTCTGTAGGATGGTGGCCATCATCTGTGGAAGTTAGCAGTAGGGATGGTGGCCATCATGTATGGAAGTTAGCAGTAGGGATGATTGCCATCATGTGGAAGTTAGCTGTGGGATGATGGCCATCATGTGGAAGATCGCTTAGGGATGATGGCCATCATGTGGAAGTTAGCTGTGGGATGGTGGCCATCATGTGGTAACTGTAGGGATGGTGGCCATCATGTGGAAGTTAGCTGTAAGGATGGTGGCCATCATTATGGAAGTTAGCAGTAGGGATGATGGCCATCATGTGGAAGTTAGCTGTAGGATGGTGGCCATCATGGAAGTTCGCTGTGGGATGATGGCCATCATGTGGAAGTTAGCTGTGAGGATGGTGGCCATCATGTGGAAGTTAGCTGTAGGGATGGTGGCATCATGTGGAAGTTAGCTGTGGGATGGTGGCCATCATGTAGAGATTAGCTCTAGGGATGGCCATCATGTGGAAGTTAGCAGTAGGGATGATGGCCACATGTGGAAGTTAGTAAGGATGATGGCCATCATGTGGAAGTTGAGGATGGTACATCATGGAAGTAGCTGTAGGGACTATACTAACAATGTGGAGTTAGCTGTAGATGGTAACACTGTGGAGAAGCAGTAGGGATGATGGCCATCATGTGTTAGCCAGGATGGTGGCCATGGAAGTTCATGGGATGATGGCCATCATGGAAGAAGGTAGGGATAGCCATCATGTGGAAGTTAGCTGTAGGGATGGTGGCCATCATGGAAGTAGCTGTAGGATGGTGGCCATCATGGAAGTTAGCTGGAGGGATGATGGCCATCATGTGGAAGTTAGTGTAGGGATGATGGCCATCATGTGGAAGAAGCAGGATGATGGCCATCATGTGAAGAAGCTGGGGATGGTGGCCATCATATGGAAGAAGGTAGGGATGATGGCCATCATGTAGTTAGCTGTAGGGATGGTGGCCATCATCTGTGGAAGAAGGAGGGATGGTGGCCATTGTGTATGGAAGTTAGTAGTAGGGATGATGGGCCATCATGGAAGTTTGAAGTAGATGATGGCCATCATCTGTGGAAGTTAGCTGAGGGATAGTGGCCATCATGTATGGAAGTTAGCTGTAGGGATGGTACATCATGCATGGAAGTTAGCTGTAGGATGGTGGCCACTGCATGGAAGTTAATAGGATGATGGCCATCATGTGGAAGTTAGCTGTAGGGATGGTGCCATCATGTATGGAAGTTAGCCAGGGATGGTGGCCATCATTAATGGAAGTTAGCTGTCGGGGATGGTCCATCATGTATGGAAGTTAGCTGTAGGGATGATGGCCATCATGTGGAAGTTAGCTGTAGGGATGGTGGCCATGATTTGTGGAAGTTAGTTGTAGTGATGGTGGCCAAAGTGTATGGAAGTTAGCTAGGATGGTGGCCATCATTAATGGAAGTTAGCAGTAGGGATGTAGACATCATTAATGGAAGTTAGGTGGCATGAGATATCATGTATGGAAGTTAGCTGTAGGATGGGCCATCATTAATGGAAGTTAGCTGTAGGATGGTGGCCATCATTAATGGAAGTTAGCTGTCAGGATGGTGGCTATCATGTATGGAAGTAGAGTAGGGATGGTGGCCATCATGTGGAAGTTAGCTGTAGGGATGGTGGCCATCGTGTGGAAGTTTTTGTTCCATTTTTACATACTGTATATGCAAGGTGGTGGGGGAGGGTGGAGACCTTAGGTGTTTGAATAAGGGTTAAGCTGTTTTAACAAATATTCCCACCACCTCCTCCTCACATCCTTGTTTATTTTTAATGCTTTCTTTGTTCTTAGTTTTTATTTTTATTTTCAGGGGATGTGAATTCAGTGGAGGGGTCGGTTGGTTTTGATGATGCCTCGTATGTAAGTTCAATCCTGTGTGTTTATTGAGCTGAAGATATTTTTGTTTTGGTTCTCATAGTCTTATAAAGTGGGAATTAATACAGTAGTCATTTGTGTCTTATCTCAGAATATTTACTATCAATTTCCATTTCATGTTTACAGTAATGTTAGAGTTGTGTAATATAGTACATTACAGTCAAACCTCAACTTAACCGATGTGAAGGTAAGTCTGTTATATCAAGGATCCTTTAGTTATGAAACTTCCATCTAACGAACTACTGTATATAGAGATGAAAGTCCATTATATTGATGGTCCGTTAGATGAAGGCCCCCGCATCGTAATGGTAACTCAGACCACCCAGGTGAAACCCATTTTTTGTTGGAAAGAACTATTTTCAGCCTAGCGCTATGATGGTAGTGGATAAGATCTCCTTACTAGACTGTAAATAAGGTTGAAAGCCCTTTGAAAATAGGGTAGAACATCGATTTGTGGCAGACAGGAAAGTATGGGCTGGGCTTGGCTTGCACGTCATTGGGTGCTCTCGTCCCATCAGTGAGTGAGTGAGAGGAGCGGGCAGCCAATCACAGCGACCGACCCGCAGCCTCCTCCCCTTTCTCGGCCAATGACAGTTAGCGTCTGCTATCTACATCACGGCCCCTCCAGCCAATGAATGCCGAATCTCCCTCTCCCTCAGTTCTCTTTTGTTGTGGCGGGATCTACACTGATATCGATTAAAGTAAAAAAAGCCATAAGCGGGTGGAAGTTTTGTTGCTTCAAGTCAACATTGCAACAACCCAGTACATTACTTCATGGCGCACTACCTACCATCTGCAAGTACAGTCCTTTAGCTTCAAAATGCATAAAAAATGAATGATTTATTTATAAAAACAAAACAAAGTTATGTAGTTGGAAAAATTTAAAACGCGATTTTCTCGGTTTCAAATTTTGGCGCGAGTAACCCTTACCGGTGCGGGGGGCCTCATATGGAGAGAGACATCTGTTATATGGAGGTTTAGCTATATAGTACTCATTATTTTCCAGATTAGAACTATTGAGTTACTTCTAGGTCTGAGAGTATGACAAGTACAATTGAGTTCACATTTATATATCTTCTTATATCATAAATTTTGTGTACTGTTATAGAGCTTCAAGACTACAATACTAGTTGATGTGAATGTAATGTTCTTTAGGAAGTTTGGTCACCATGATTGAAGTGTGGTACTGTATTATTCATTGTACTGATAACTGTTTGTGTGTTTAAAGCCATCGCACTATATTTCTCCCAAAGTTCTCAAAATTTAGGTATCAATGCTATCATTTTTTACAATTGGCCATAATCTTTCAGACATTTGTAGACTGTCCTCTGCCTAGCTAACCATACATCGGTATATGACACTGATGCTGGTACAGAATACAGTAAAACACTCTTATTTTGAGCAGCTATACTTTGTATTTTTTGCATTGCATATTGTAGTCGGTTGTTTTTCTTTGCCTTTTATGGTGGCAAGTAGTAGCTGTTTTTCATTTTCGGTAGTTAATTAACATAAGTATTTTAGTATGTTTCTGTGTTTTAATTGTTTGTTGAAGGTATGTGTACTGTAGAGTAGAAAGGATTTTTCAACCAACTTAGGTACTTGTTCACCTGAGACTCACACTACAGTACGGTACTTATAACTGAAACTAACTTTTTTAATTGCCATAACTGATCACCCAGGGTTTGTGGTCAATGGTAATATGTACTATATCATGGTGCACCACCTATGGACCCGTGTAATATCAGGTGTAAGGTTTCAGGTCTGACTGGTTCTGTTTTGGAGCTATGGCTAGAACAGACAGACAAGTAGTTAATAGTACAGAACTACTAAGGTGTACAACCTTCAGACCCATGCAGGCATTTCATATTAGCAGTGCCTGGCACTTCCTGGATGACAACCTAATATTTTGAGAGGTAAATACCTCATGAATTTTTGACCCCACCTCCCCATACACGTTTAACCGGGGAGATCCACCAACATGTGACTTGTCATCAGGTACAGGCAAGTTATCACTACATTAAGCCACTAACCCAGCTTACCTCTAGTCCAGTGGTCCCCAACCTTGTGTAGGGCCACATTTGTCATTGTAAATATAGTGGACGGTGCCAAAACTTTGGATCTACATTCAGGATATAAAAAAAAAAAAAAAATACAGTACAGTATACAGTTATTTGTAGTTGTATCCTAGTCTAACTGTTTAACTGTTACATACTTTTTACATTTACTCATGGATCATTCTAGCTCGCTCTTTCTCTAGGCCAGGTCTGTGGTAAATACACACATCCTGTACATGACAGATTCAGGATTAACTGGGTCTCTCTAAAGTCGTATCAAGTTATTATATATAAATATTTTTATTATTTTTACTGACAGATTCCCAATTATTTCACAGTTTTCTAATAAACTCTTACGGGCTCCATAATATGGTTCCACGGGCACCATGGAACTAGAGGTTGGGAACCACTGCTCTAGTCAGTCAGTGTCAAGTTTTCAACATTTCAAAGGAACCACCAAGCTGAGAGGCTGTAAATGTGAAGTGACAGGAGTTATGACCTCACATGACAAGTGTTAATGCCGCTGACACCAGATTTATAGTGGAGAGCGGTAATTAGGGTTGGTGATCACGGGTGCTACCTACACCTGCCTGCAAGAGTGAGGAGAGGTGACAGGAGTTATGATAAGGGATACCTGTATATAACTTTCCCATAACAAAATTCAGGACAACAAATTTACTTTTAAAATCTATATGAACAAGTCAAAAAAGTGTCTGGGTAAGTAAATTTCAAGTCACTTACCTGAGACAAGTCTGCAGTGTGTTTCACATAAGCCACACAGCCTCACTATGTGTATGTGGAGTTCCAGACAAACACATCTATTTATAAATGTAGAGATTTTTAGCCTTTTGACTGCCATGTTCTTCAATAAACTGTTAATTATTATTTATTTCTTCATCTGTCATCCCTTTTCTCTAACTCATCAAGATTTATTGCTGTCCTTCATTATTACTAGTGTGGCATTTTTCACATTTATTTAACTACAGTATTTACACCTGCTGGGTAACCCCACTCTTTGAAATTGTTGCAGGGAAGCTCTACTGTTAACTTCACAACCATGGAATGTGCAGTACTGGGACTGACACACAGTAAGGAGCTGAGGGGCATACGTAAGCAGCTCTTCACCACACCTCTCCCCAGGAATCCCTACAAGCCTGAACCAAGGTGTGCAAATCTTGAAAAATTTCTATAGAAATGAATGTTTTTGACAGCTAATCATGGAGATGGATGTTTTTGACAGCTAATCTTAGAGATGGATGTTTTGACAGCATATCTTAGAGCTGGGTGTTTTTGACAGCTAATCTTAGAGATGGATGTTTTTGACAGCTAATCTTAGAGGTGGATGTTTTTGACAGCTAATCTTAGAGATGGATGTTTTTGACAGCTAATCTTAGAGATGGATATTTTTGACAGCTGATCTTAGAGATGGATGTTTTTGACAGCTGATCTTAGAGCTGGGTATTTTTGACAGCTGATCTTAGAGATGGATGTTTTTGACAGCTGATCTTAGTGCTGGGTGTTTTTGACAGCTGATCTTAGAGATGGATGTTTTTGACAGCTGATCTTAGAGATGGATGTTTTTGAAAGCTAATCTTAGAGATGGATGTTTTTTGACAGCTAATCTTAGAGATGGGTGTTTTTGACTGCTAATTGCCAGGGATGTAATTACCTCAATCAATCAAATCATTATTCCTTTTATAATATATTTACTACAGTAGAAGTCCAAAAATCCGGACCACTTGGGGATTGGGTCGGTCCGGATTTTCGGATTTTCCGGATTCTCAGGCAGTACTTTTAAAATTCAAATTTAAGGAGGAATAAGGAAGAGATGAACAGGTACATTTTGATAGTTTATTCATTAGCAAATATAGCCTGCTTCATTTATCAAAACGAGCAGTTTTAAGGAAAAAGCTGTGGATTCTAGAATTTTATTCTTTGCCTTTTTTATATCATAAATTGTAGACTTTCCAATGTCGTATGTTTCCATTAGATCAGTATTGCTCACACCACGTTCTAGTTTCTTAATTATTTCAAGTTTGTCACTCAATTTCAACGTGTTCTTTCTCTTCACACAACAAAGTTTATCTACTTTAGGAGCCATTATTATGGGCTTGTACAGTACAGTACTCTGTAAATGAAAAGAGTAGGACTCAAAATTACATATGTTATCACAGTTTGATTGCTCCTTTTAAAGTGGCGATCGCATGGTCGCTTGTTGTCGCTGTGCAGTTGTGGCACTCACGCATGCGCACATACACAAAAGCCCGCTAAAAAAAAAAAAATTTATTTTCTTAAAGTCCGGATTCTCGGGTGGTCCGGATTTTTGGACTTTTACTGTATGATGATGTTCATGAGTTTGAGATGTGTATTTATAAGAGTAACTCAAGCATCCGAAAAAACGATTATCCGGCACATTCAATTCCCCTTGGATTCAGGATATCTGAGGTTATACTGTACTATTTATTATTGATTAGGAATGACAAAAAATCTCATTAAGATATTTATGAAGCTGCTGTAATAACATGAATTCTGTGTACTGTACTTTCAGGGGGAAATTGTTCTTTGGCGAGGAGGCACAGCGCTGGTGTGTCCCAAACATAGCATCAGATCGCTCTGTTGTGATGCGGTCTCAGCGCCTCCTCTACCAGATGTCCAAGAGACGCCCCACCAGGATCACCATGTTCTTTGGCATGAAGTCTTTGCTTACTGCCATAGGGAGCATATTTATGGGCATCTTGTTCTACCTTATGACATCATTCACCTTAACCAGGAATTTACTGTTGAAGGTAAGATGTAAATGGTGTGGGTTGATTATTGGTCACAAAAAAGTAATCCCTGGATTTTATTTATTGGGTTATCCTGATAATATGCACCCTGTCTCACCTGTTGGAACTCTTGGGAGCAAAAAGAAAACCTTCATACCGTATATTGCGGTCGATAAGTCGACTTTTAAAGCTTCAATTTTTGTGTTCAAAACAAGAGGTCGTCTTATACAACAGATATAAAATGTCAACCTCTCCGTACACTCCACCACTAGCATCAGATTTTCACTTTACCTTACTGGTAGATCTCAGTCACCTAATTTCCAGCACTCACAAACAAGATTTACCTAACTAGCATTTTTCCAGAAGGGTAACTGTTACTGAACACAGCCTAAGGTCAGTGTTTACACTAGTCAAACCGACACCTTTCAGATGACAAGTCACTGAGGGTTAAGTGTAGTTTAGTTAGTAAACCCATCGTTAGTTATGCAGATGTGTAAAACCTTTCTCAAAATGCCGAATATTCTCATTTTCCAGTATCCAGAGTTCTTCACATTTGGCCTCTTCTCTCGAAAAGGGCCGAAGCGTTCTGACCTGATCGGCCTGAAGTTCTCGGTGACCTTAACAGGGAAGGGTTGGGACAAGAAGCTGGAGGACCCTGAACAACAGCACACAGAACCTCCCAACACCTCTAAGACAGTTCAGGTGCTCCCATATATTTTTTTTGTTTTTGTTTTTGTTTTAATTACGCTTTTTAATGTGTTATATTCCCAGACTTGAAGAGTAAGGATAGAGCAATTGTTATTTGTGTATGATTTAAAGGTGTTTTTCATAGTTATGATCCTTCTCTGTCATGATAGCTCCAATAGGAAAATCTTGTGTTTGTTGCTTGTTGGCTGTTTGTCTGTCCAGTTTTGGGGCTCTGAGGACCATTCAGGAATTATTTCCAAGAGGTTTGGAATGAATGTTCAGCTTTGTATATTCCCATGCTCTTGTTTGTAATACTGCACTAAGATGCTCCGGTGTTTAGGATTGTTATTCAGTGGACACCCATATTTTGGTTCATCAGACTATAGCTACAATATAAACTCATTTTGGTGACCTGTATAGAGTGGGGACCTTTTCTCAACCAAATCATACAATAATTTATATACTGTATGTAAACAGATGTTGCACTTTCTGTTGTGACTGTTATGAATTTATTGAAGTTAATTGAGTGTTTATTAGCACATTGTACAGTACCAGGAAACAGTAAACCAAAGATAATGTACTGTACCATCTTTCCTCCAGAGATGCTTTGTGATTTCCCATGCTTGGATGAACTATTTTCTGTCCAGTTAGGGAGTGTTTACCGCGGCTCTTTAATTTTAAAATCAGTTAGGAAAGCCTTGGTTCTTGCTTCTGTTGTTTGCTGAGGATACTGTACTTGGAGGTACAGAACATGTCAAATTCTATAACCTGTTATTATTATAGAATCAATTCTTATCCCATGTGAAATACCCAAGCAAGATGTTTACTACTTGTTGAGTTGACTGGCATCCAAATTATTTAGGCTATAAAACTATTACTGTATTGCAGGTTGTGGGACCTGACCCAGGTTACTTTGGTACTGCCACACTAGTGACCCAGAGTGCCATGACCATCCTGGAGGAGAAGGACAACCTGCCTGGAAAGTAAGTCAATATGATACTTCCTTTACATATATTCAAGTGAATTTGATAACTACTTCGCCTTGATATATTCAAATAAGTTTAACAATGTCTTTAGTAGGTTTATAACAGACTGTTTATGTACTGTACTGTATTTTAATTTACTGTACTGTACAGTACTGTGATGTATTGTACTGTGCTGTATTGTGCTGTATTGTAGTGTACTGTAATGTGCTGTATTTGATTTTAATGTATTTGATTGTGCTTTTCTGTACCATACTGTATTATACTGCACATCAGTGTTCCTCAACCTTTTCAACACTGGGTCACAGTTCTCAGCCCCTCTAAATCCTTTGGTCACATAAAGTTATCATAAAAAGGACACATTTAATAGGAAACATACTTCTGTATGCGTGTACACTACAAGTATACCCTGTATTACAATAAGTTGCATTTAACCAGAAAAAATAATCATTACATTTGCACTTACAGTATAGTGGGATATGCTATAACGAATCTAATTGGTTCTGGAACCTTGTTCGTTATAGGATTAATCCGTTCCAGGCCCCCAAATACAACCACTTAACACTGTCGGGTCACACTAGTAGATGGTTTGGGTCACTGTACTGTGACCTGGATCAAATGGTTGGGGAACGCTGCTGTACAGTATTATGTATTATACTATACCGTATTGTGCTGTATTTAGTGTACTGTATTGTAGTGTGCTGCGCTGTACTGTATTGTGCTCTATTGTATTTACTAGGTAGTAGGTAGCAGGCAGCCAGCCATCAAACAGGTAGGTACTACCGCCTGGCAAGATATTGGAAGCATAATGTGTTGTCTAATGGTAGACCCTGCTGCCATATGTGACTTTCTGCCTCATTTACACACAATTGCAGGTCTCAATTGTTTCTCTCACCTTGACAACACAACTTACATATATTGTTTCTCACTATTGATCTTTTTTCTTTTATGATCCTTTATTATGTTTTATTTAATATTTTTTCTATTTTTTTATTAATTATTATTATTGTTATAATTTTGCCCCCAGGCCCTGATGTTGGTCATTGACCTGTGCCCTGGTGGGCTAACCCTGTAAAAAAAAAAAAATACTATACAGTGACCCCTCGTTTAACGAACTGCCTTCCATAAGGATCTTCAATTCGGTTAACGAAAAAAAAATTCGGTTAACGAAAAAAAAATTCGGGTAACGAATTTCTTACGAACCGACCTCAACATGTTTTCGCTTGCACTGACCGGGCAACCAGCTTAAGTATCAGTCCACCAATACATTAATCGGTTCTAGGGCTTAAATTCTTTACTATTTTAGTAAATATCAAGAAGTTTATACTATTCAATAATTTTAAAAGTTTAATATTCAATTTTTTAGTCATTTTAACAATTATTGAACATAATTGAAGGTAAAGTGACTAGTTTAATGCGCGGCATCCAGCCTCTTAACACAGCAAACAGGCGTTAGTCTCTCTCTGTTTTCACTGGAGGTAACATCTTGCTTGAGACTCTCTTCAACTAAATGCCTTTTTTCTGTGTTTCCAAGCAAATTATTGGTCATTTTGAATTATATTTTACATATTGACAATATATAATGCAGTGCAGTGTTAATTTAAAGAAAATAATCTTGAATTACACCAAGAGAGCTAAAATTTTATGGGTGAAATGGCGCCATGGGGTGACTTCTCTTCCACCCCAATGCCTTCTCTTCTTCCTTCTCCTCCACCCCCATTCTAAATCCCATCATCATCATCATCCAGGAGCCTTCTGCATACACACCTCAAAGTAAGTGAACTTTTCTACCATTTTTTTTGAATTTAGGAAATTTTCGGTGAGCTGGAACCAATTACCCAAAAACCCATTGAAACAATGGTTTCAGTTAACGAACTTTTCGGTTAACGAACGACCTTCTGGAACGGATTGAGTTCGTTAACCGAGGGGTCACTGTACTATGCTGTATTGAACTGTACTGTATTATACCGTACGGTGCTGTACTGTACTATACTGTACTGTGCTGTGCTGTCTACTCAGCAGTAATTGGGGACCTGGATGTTAATCGATTTGCAGATCGTGTTCCGGGGTAATGGTTAGCCAGTGCAGTTGGCGAGTTGTCCGGTCTTCTCGGACTATTCCTTGACACTGGGTCATGCAGCTCGTTAACTTGGGGTGCGGTTGTTGTGTTGGAAACAACTTCTACACCTTAAACACTGGGTCATGCAGCTCGCTAACTCAGGGTGTGGTTGTTGTGTTGGCAATAGCTTCTACAACTTTAACAAATTCATGCCTAGGTGGCCCTTGGGCTGACCATCCTCTTTACACGAGGGGCAACCATTAATATTATATTATTGTACTGTGTTGTACTATGCTGTACTGTACAGTGTTGTAGTGTACTGTGCTGTATTTTATTTTACTGTATTATACTGTACTCTGCTGTATTTTATTATGCTGTACTGTTCTATACTGTAGTGTACCATACTACTGTACTGTATTCTCTTATGCTGCATTACACTGAACTGTGTTATAAAATACGGTATTATACTATACTGTATTGTACTTATACTGTATTGTATTATGCTGCACTGTATTATAATGTATTGTATAATACTTTACTGTATTATTCTGTACTGTATTGTACTGTACTATATTATACTGTACTGTATTATACTGTAATGCAGGGGTGTCAAACTCATGGCCCTTGGGATGGTCAGGTGAGATCCACAGGATGATGGTAAAATTTATTATCCTGTGAAATTATGAAAGAAATAGATATAATCATGTTTATTTAGTAAAATGAATTTTACATACTTAAGATCAGACAAACCCAAATGAGGTATTCCTGGTAAGGCAATGTGTGAAGCTGTAAACTTCAATCCTGCAAATATGTGATACAGCACTTGTGTTGGCCCTGAAGAGGGTAACTAAAATAAGAATTGGCCCTCGAAATGTATTTAGCTTGACACTACTGCTGTAATGTATTACTGTTGTACTACTTTGTACTGTATTGAACTCTACTGTGCTGTATTGTCTTCCCAGCAGTAATTGGGTTCCTGGATGTTAATCTATTTGCAGCTCATGTTGTGGTGTAATGGTTAGCCAGTGCAGTTGGCTTGTCTGGTCTTCTCGGAGTATTCCTTGACACTGGGTCATGCAGCTCGTAAACTAAGGGTGTGGTTTTTATTTTGGCAACAGCTTGTACACTTGAATGAACACTGGGTCATGCAACTCGTTAACTCAGGGTGTGGTTGTTGTGTTAGTGACAGCATCTACACTTTAAACACTGGGTCATGCAGCTTGTTAACTTAGGGTGTGGTTTTTGTGTTGGCAACAGCTTGTACACCTTGAATGAACACTGGGTCATGCAACTCGTTAACTCAGGGTGTGGTTGTTGTGTTGGCGACATCTTCTACACCTTAAACAGATTGACGTGTAGGTGGCCCTTGGTAATGTGTTGTATTGAACTATGCTGTTCTGTACCGTGTTCTAGTGTACTGTGCTGTATTATACTGAAGTGTACCATACTATACTATATTATACTGTACTGTAATACATGCACTACTATATTGTATTAGACTGTACTGTGTTATACTGTACTGTATTATATTGTTCTGTGCTGCACTGTATTGTACTTTACTGTGCTGTATTATAATGTGCTTTACTGTACTAATTTGTACTGTACTGTACTCTATTATACTGGACTGTACGGTATTATAATATACAATGAAAGACAAAAGTCATGTCATGAAATTTGGTGAAAACATATGCCGAAGGGCTAAACTTTTGGCGCTCTCTGCCTTGTGGTAGGGCGCTCATAATGTTTCATGAGTTATATTTAATCTTCGGACAAAACCGCAACACAACTTTTGTTTTTGATTGTGCAGTGCTTTATTATACTGTACTGTATTTTATTGTAATGTACTTTATTATACATTTACTATAATGCACTGTATTGTACTGTTATACTGTATTATACTGCAATGTATAATACTATGCTGTATTATGCTGTACTGTATTATACAGTATTGCATTATACTGTATTGCATTATGCTGTACTGTTTTATATGGTACTGTATTGTATTATAATATACTGTGTTATGTATTGTATTATACTGTGTTATATTGTATTGGTAATGTATTATATGGTACTGTGTTACACTATTGTATTATATTCTACTGTATTGTATTATGCTATACAGTAGTACCCCGCTTAACACGGTCAATAAAACCCACAGGGTACCGTGTTAAGTGAAAACCGCTATTGTATCATATTATACTGTATTGTATTATACTATACAGTAGTACCCCACTTAACAAGGTCAATAAAACCCACAGGGTACTGTGTTAAGTGAAAACCGCGCTAAGTGAACAACAGAACATATGGGATTAATTCCAATAGAAACTGGCCCGACCCATAAACTCCACTTTTTCTGACACAATACCTCTGTTCTAGTAAAAATAACATCTTAATTTTATGATGGTACATGCGCACAATTAATACTTAAGAGAAATACAGTTGCCAAGTTAATGTCCATTCAAATAATGGACTCAACTCCCTCACACTACACTGCTGGCTCTTCCCTCTGAGAAATTTTGGGGGGAAACCACTAAATTTTAATAAATAATACCTCAAACTAAAGTTAGGATAATACAATTGACATTGCTGGATTCCTTGTAAGACCAGGAATATTTTGAATATAAATGTCATATATTTTGCACAAAAGATAACATATTTACTCAGAAAACATTACATCTAAAATTTGTATGTCTAATGCAAAATCTATGATGTTTATATTCAAAATGATCACCAAATTGTAAGAATTCCAGCAATGTAAATTATATTCTGGCCGGGTAATTTGTATGAATTTTATGAGCTAAAACAAATATCTTCAGTTAATAAAAAAAAAAAAATATTCTTCACAACACTATCTGTCAATCAAAGTACCCCACCTTGCCTCCACCCTCTTCCAACAGCGCGGTCAGTCCCAGCCATCCCCCCCACCAATCCTCCCTTCAAGAGATGTTGGGTGAAAAAACTAAATTTTAAAATTTTGTATTAAATAATACCTCAGATTAAATTTAGGATAATATAATTAACATTGCTGGATTCCTTGTAAGACCAAGAATATTTTGAATATAAATGTCATATATTTTGCACAAAAAATAACATATTTACTCAGAGTAAACATTATATCTAAAATTTGTATGTCTAATGCAAAATCTATGATGTTTATATTCAAAATGATCATCATATTGTAAGAATTCCAGCAATGTAAATTATATTCTGGCCGGGTAATTTGTATGAATTTTATGAGCTAAAACAGGGTGGCAGGTGGGGGAATCTAAAAATAGCTCTGGAGCCGGACACACTGCAGTATACGTGGAAAAAAACCCGCGTTAAGTGAAAGTTCAGCTCTGGCAAGGCACCGTGAAATCGCGCTAAACGAAACCGTGTTAAGCGGGGTATTACTGTACTGTGTTATATTGTACTGTATTATACCTTTTCGTTCAGTTTTCTTAATGTTTTTTTGTTTTCTTTAACAGGGGCGGGGTTTATCCTCCTGCAGCAGCATTCCATCAGACTTCCCTCATCACCCGCCTCCAGGAAAATGGAATCAAGTTCTTTGTCAAGGAATAACTGAATATTAATAAGCTGACTATTATTTGGTAAGACCAGATTAATTGGTGTCACTCAACAGTTCACATTTATTATTTGGAAAGACGAGTGAACTTGTTAACTGCATATCAGTAATATATTAACTTTATTCCAGTAGCATCTAGTCAGTAATGAAAGGGAACAAATTACTTTATTTTTATAAGGATAATTCAGATTAACTAATGATGATAGTCAATATATAGGAGAATGCATGTATTACAAACATGATAGTTTATTTTTGGTGAGGGCAAACTTATTAATCTTTAAAAGTTATTATAATTTGTAAGACAGCAATAAATATGGAAATA